CAGACCAGCTGGGCACTGCTTTGCCTCCCGGTCTGTGCGCAGCTAGGACCCTTGTCCCCCATGTCCTCTCCTATCATCCCCTCCTGCCACCCCCGGGAGCAGAGCCTCACCTGCAGTGCACGAGGGTCGGCCCCGCGTCCTTGGTGCTCTGGATGTGCTCCCGGACCAGCTCTCTGAAGGTCATAATGGAAGTGGTGGACTCCGGGATCCCGTGGTCTGGCCATGCTGTGTAGTGCATGTGGGACACGTGCCGCTCTGCCTGGAGACCCTCCTGCCAGGGGGAGATGTTGGTGATCTGCTGCAGCCCACTGGGACAGGGGTATGCATGCATCCCACAGCCCTGGGAGCACCCGGGGTCTTGTGGACACCCAGCTCAGTCACAGGGAGCAGCCAACACCAGGTCTGCTGCACTGCCTGGTGGCTCCTGCTCCCCTGTCGTCCCCCATGGTCCCCTGCCATGGTGAGGTACGTGGAGGTGGCAAGGAGGAGACCTGCCTTTGACAGCATGCCCTTGAACCTGCAGGCTGCGTCCCAGTGCAGGGAGGTGGAAAGGAGACAACAAGGGTGGACAGCAGGGGTGCTACGTGTTGGCAGAGACAGACGGCTCCGCAGGGGGCCGGGTCTTTGAACACCGCTAATGGCAGTGGGAGAGGAATTTATGCCACCACCACAAAGGAGAAACACCACCGCATCCCACACAAACCCCCAGACCTTCACAGGTCCCTGAGTCCGTCCTCCTGGGTCCTTACTCACGTGCCACAGTTTGAACTCACGCATGGTCCACTCGTTGGAGCTGCTCTGTGTCAGCAGGTGGACCCGGACCTGCCCGTAGGACACTGGGGCAGATTCAGATGGCCAGTAATGATCACAGAGGACCTAAAGCACAGGCAGGATGGGGTCCCAGTGAGCCCAGTGATGGCCCAGGTCCCACTGGGTGACCTCCCGGCTCCCCGGGAGCATCTGGAGAGCAGCAGCTGCACAGGGAGCCAGGGCAGGTCTTGTGGAGCAGGCAGAGATGTTGCCCCTTCCCACCAAGAGGTTTGCACAGTTCTCCCCCACTTCCCCTTTGTTTGGATCTCAGCCTCCTCCAGAGAAAAGGACCTGTGGGTCTCATCATCCCTGGAGACTGGAGGAACAGTCCCTGTGAGGTGTCTCATCCAGAGGCAAGCAGTAATTTCAGATGCTACAGAAATATCTGAGCGTGATGGGCATTGTTCCAGCAAAGCTCCAGTTCTGCCCCTTCCTACCCCAAGCTAACACTGATCTGCACACATCAGCCTCTGTTGACCCAAACTGCCTGTCGAGGAACCTGTGTGGCCCGTGCTCACCCTGGAGCCACATCTGAGCAGAGGTTGGTGGGGGGCACAAACCCAGCCCTGGGCTCAACTCACACGACCAGGTGTGGGCTTGGCTGAGGCTGACAGGTAGAAGCCTGGCAGTGCCGACCTACCCGCCCGTTCTCCATGCACACTGTCAGCATGATGATGTTGCAGACGTTCTGCTCCCACACCAGTCTCCAGAAGTCCTCTATCGTTTTCTTCAGGGGTCCCTGGGTGGCAATGAACTCCTGCTGGGATGTATAGCCCTGAGCAAGAGGCAGACAGGAGGAGTTGGCAAGTTAGAGAGGCAGGTGGATGCTGTCCTGGGACAGTCAGTGCCTGGTCTGCTTTTGCAGTAGAGGGAGAAACGTCCATTGCCCTTAACCCATGTGGGCACAGTTCCCAGGCAGCTGATCTCAGAAGCCGCTGATTTCACAGGACTCCTGTGCTGCCCAACACGTGCTCTCTACGTATTTGGAATAAAGACGTCATCTCTGCCTTTTCCCTCCAAGCAGTTCCTCATTCAGTGCAACCAGGCAAAGACAGATCTGGGTTTCTCTCGCTCCCCAGTCGTCGCTGGAGGTAGGGTGAGCATGCAAGGTTGCTTCTTTGCCTTTGCCCCTTTGACACACACATGCCCCGTGGATCCACACACCCGCGCGTGTATGCTCCGTGCCCTGCCTGTTACCTGGGAAAATCTCCCGGATGGGGGGTGTGGGCACAGCTCCAGGGTCGTTCAAATGCAGCTGCACAGACCAGAAGGAGAAAGAGCAGACAGACAGAAGGGGCAGTAAGCTGGGAGAGGATGGGAAGCGGATAGTTCTCAAGCAGAAAGCCTTGCCAGTCTCCCCACACTCACACCTCTGCATTCAGAGCACTTGCCATCTGATGATCTCCGTCAACCCCTGCTAAAGGGCACCTATTCATCTCCAGCTGACCCCCAACTCCTTGACATTCTGTGCCAGCTGTGGTTTCAGCGACAGCTCTTGATCACCAGCCCTCACAACCTCAATCCAGGCAGAGTTTCTCTGATGGTGCCCCATGGCCATGTCTCTGTGGGGAAGGCAGGTGGGCACTCACAGGCATGAAGTTCGCATTGATGTAGTCTGAGTGTGGATCCTCCCCCAACTGGCTCAGCTTGACCCGAGAGTGATCATCTGGAAAAGAGCATACACACCTGATCCCTGAGGCAGCCCTTCACCAGCACATACCCTCTTCACATGGGTAACACATTGGGAGAAGCCCCAGCAGCTCTGCTAGCTCCATGTACACAGCCAGCAGCGAGGCTCTGTGCTTGGCCAGGCACCTTCTCCCTGGAGAGGTGAGCATTGCCTGCCAGCTGGGCTAGCAGTGGGGTAAGAAAGCAGAGCTGGCATCTTGAGACTCACTGGAGAAGCCATGGGATACTCATGGTCCCCCTTTGGACTCCAGCTGGGACCCATCCCTGAGCTGGGCTCACCCAGCACCTGCCCAGCAGCCTCCTGGAGGACCCGAGGAGGGTGGTGGCTCAGCATTGGCTCAGCCCTCAAGCCTGGAGTCTCCAGCAGGAAAAGGGAAACTGAAGCCCTTTACAAATCTGCTTCTCCTGGGAGAGGAGCCAGGCACTGTAAACCCTCCAGCGATGCAAGGTGAGCCCGTCCCTGTGCATTTCAGTGTGAACTCCCACCTCAGATGCTGGGGGGAGGAGGCAGCACTTACAGGGCAGCACGTGGGCATATCTATTCTTGGAAACGTTGGCTGGTAGCTCAGCCTCCACCTTCAGCTGATCCTTCCCAACTTCCTTCAGCTCCTGTAGGACAAGAGAGAAGATAAGCATGAGTGTGTCTCTGGAGAGCTCCTGGCCAGCCCAGCTCCCTGCTCATGGCCAACACCTCTGTCTTGGTCGTTCAGGAGGGTCACCCATGCACAGGGAACTGCCCTACCCCTCCCTCAGCATAGCCTGTGTCTACTCTGTGCCATAGGTGGCTTTTCGTAGTGCCTTTTCCAACAGCACTGTTTGTATTTAAAAGACAACAAGCCCAAGAACAAGAAGCACTGTGGAAAACCAACCTTTTCTGAAATTGGAAATGTACCAAGAAGCTCAGAGCATTTTGTGAGCAGAAAACAGAAATATCTTGTGCTGCTTCTGCCTTTGTCCTAGCTTAGGCAGTCAGAGAAGGGTGATCTGAGGAAGGTTTGGAATCACTGGTGGGGCTTTCAACAGTGTTGGCAGCTGAACAATTCAGAGCCTGCAGATGTTGGCAGAGGGAGCTAGTGAAGCTAGCCAGGTGAATTTCACAGCCTGGCCCTATAGCTCTGAGAGTGCTCCTCAACCTTCCTTTTGGCTGCAGGCTCTTTTCTAACGCTGTCGAGGTGGATCTCATTGCAACACCACCTAGCATCTTTGCCTCCATTCCAGGCCTGGGGCCCTTAACTTTGTCCACCAGCAGCTATGGACAGTGCTAGTTCACCTCACGTCACAGATGACCCATGTTTCTACCAGAACCTAACATTCTGTGATTCTGTAAAAACACGTTTTGAGCAAAGGAATTGCCTGTTCACTTGCTCCATCCAGTCTTTAGCCCCCAAGACTCCCTAGCAGGGTGGTTGGGTTGCTAGAGAGATGGATTATTGTCCCTGGAGATGAGAAGTCCATACAGGCCATCCAACAGCTGGGGCATGACCCAGCTGGATTTGAATGAGCAGCCTAGAGGGGAAATAAAGTCTCATCTCTAGCAGGAGTCTCATCTCACCTCAAACTCCTGGAAAAATGCGTGGTTAGCACTTGCTGTCTTCATCTCATAGTACTGCTTGAAGTTCTGTATGGGAATTGGCCGATGGACGTTTCTGCATGAAATGAAGACCGGAGGAAAACTTGCCTTAGCTACTGGGAGGTCGGACAGGCCAGTCAGGTGGCCAGCAAGACAGCCCAGCCTTGAGACCTGTGGTACCTGGATGTACACACACAGGGATGGTTTACAGCCCACGTCATTGCCCAGGGAACTGGGTGTGACAGAGCATTGCTTAAACATAGAGAGGGATTTCAGGATGGGAAGCCTATTCTCCTACTGCTGAAGCCTTGCAGAGGAGGTGTGGACAATGCATTTACACTTCCATTGACTTGGAATGGAGCTGGGCAATAAATACTGAACATGGGAAAGCCTGTGATTTAAAAAACAGCTGAAGGAGAGGAGACACAGCTGGATTTTTCCTGAGTCAAAGCAAGAGAAAGGAAGTAGGCGAAGCACTCTGGGACCTGCAGTGGGGACACGCAGAGAAGGAAGACTCCAGTACTCACCTCAAGCTGTAGGTCACCATTTCCTGGGGCAGGCTGCTCTTCTTGTTTCTAGAAGCAGAACATGGGAGATGTTACTCTTCTCAGCAGTGCAGGGACAGCTGCTGTGATGACATTGCGGACTGCTGGGTCACGGAGCACTTGTGACCAGACAGCTCGTGTCAGGCACACCGCCTTGCACGTGTAGGGTTCTGTGAATTAACTGCACACGGGCAGCTCCCCTCTCCCCTCTGCCTCTTGGTTCTGTGCTTGTCAGACACAGCTCCACTAGCTGGTGTCTTCATTTGCCTAAATCTCATTTTATACACTCCCACTGCTTTTCCTCTGGCCTGGCACTGAAGGTTGGGTTTCTCAGCCTGCACCCACCAGGCAAGGGATGGCTCATCCTCACCTCTTTGCTCTGAGCTGTCTCCAGTAGACCAAAGCAAAAATAGCTGCCAGTGTCAAAAGAAATCCCAAGACGATCCCAGCAATTATTGGCATTGAGAGTGGAGTTGCATCTGCACCGGATCCAGCAGCTGAAATCAAAAAGAGACAGAATGGACAGAAGTAAGAGTCCATAAATGGCTACATTTACTCTACTTATTATATTTGCCGCAGCATATGGTCTCCCTCTGGCTTGCCATTGACTGGTTGTTAATTATCTCTAACCTGCATGGCCAGGTCAGGAAGATGGCATTCTCCATCTTACCTGAGAACATGGTGAACGTCACTGCAGGGGCTACAGGGTCATATCTGGTGAAGGCAGCGATGCTGAACCTAGGGCAAAGCAGAGTCCGGCCGTCAGGGGCAATCCGAGCTGAGCACAGCACCCGTGCAGCCAGCAGCAGGAAGACCCAAGGGAACAGGGCAGCTGCCTCTGTTTTGAAACACTGCATTGGAAGAAGCTGGTTTGCTGGTAGGGATCTACGGAATGTGTGGAAATGGTCCTTCCTCCCTTTTCTGCCTCTTGGACAAGTTTGTTGCACTTCGGAGAACATGAGGAAAATGTTCAGAAAGCACAAACAGCAAACAGCTCTCCTCCGAAGGGTCGTTTGCAGAGACAAGCAGTGAGTTGCTGCTCTCTTATGGGACAGAAGTAGCGAAAGACAACAGTAAGTAATGAAAATCAACTTGGCTTGAGTCAGTGTCTTAGTTCATGTCAACCAAGGAAATGGGTTGAAAGAGCTGAGCCTGGGTAACTTTGAACCAGTGGCACCTCAGCTGGGGGGGCTTACCCCCGACCCAGACCCTTCCCCATGCAAGTAGAAGTGGCTGTGGCATCCTCTTCCCCGTGGAGATCTGCCCTACATCCTCCTCCCAGCAGTGTGCACACCAAGCCTCACCGCTCCCTGCAGAGCTGACTTCCTTCTGAGCAGGTAACCTGGAAGTGTAGGTCTTCTTGCACCTTAAATACAAGTTAAGGCTTTCAAACGTAGCTTTGGGTTTTAGCAGCCAGGAATTTGTGGAGCCCAGTGTGAGTCCCCTCTGGCAGCACCCCGGACCCGACTGCCAGAGCAAAGACCACTTTGAAAGCTGAACCTGCAGATGCCATGGCAGGAGAGACAAGGGCTCGTGGATAGATAATTCACTGCAAGATAGGAAACAAGGGCTGGCTCTCAGAGCGGAGATGGGCTGCCAGAGGAATCACCTGCTTTTCACCACTCTGCTGGTGATTAACTAGGACAGCAGCACAGTGCACTCGGGATCCATGTTGTCTAGGGCAGCCGAAATGAAAGCAAGCTGCAAAGAGGTGCGAAAGGATCTTCTAGTCCCGAGTGACTGGACAGCTAAGTACGTGTTATTGAACCATGGTAGGTGGGCTAAGGACACCCTGATGGCTCAGAAATAGCTGCTACCCTGTGGGAGGTCAATGTTGGAGTGCAGCTGGGAAGCGTGGAGGGCAGATACCCACTCTCAGACTGGCTGAACAGTATTTGGGGGGGTGGACGGGTACACCGGTGTGGTTGTGCTGCTGTTAAACTCCCCTCGAGGCTGCTGGCACCTGCCAGAGATGGGTCAGGCAGACCTTGGTCTGAGCCAAGGCAGTGTAACGCAGACCCAGCCTGTGCCCAGGCTGTCCCCTCTCAGTGCTGGCTGAAGCAGAAGGCCAGATCTGAGGCTGGTAGGGTTAAGCAGCAAGGGTTGCCAGGCCGTGCCTGAGGGCGAGTTGCACAGGAGCCGTTAGCAATAAAGGATGGGTGGTCTTGATGGGCAATCAATCTCAAACCTTCAGTCAATTGGAGTCAATTGGAGACCTTCCCCTGCCAGCCCAGGGATCACAACGCCTGTGGTGGGAATGGGATGGGAATGCATCCTCATGCAATTCTCCAGTACCTAAAGAGCTGTTTGCTCTTGATGATCCTGCTCTGGGGGAGGGGGATTTCCAAGGGAATGGCTCGCTGGAAACTCCCATTTTTCCCAGGAGAAGCAGCCATCTCTCACTCCACTAATGCAGCCCAGTGTTAACACCAATTCTCTGCCAGTGCTGCCCCAAACAGCAGCTTAAGAGCCCCAGTTTGGCAAGATGTGTAAATCTAAAATGACTCCATAAGAATCGAAGTTTGTTTTTCATGTAAGCGCAGAGCCTGCACATAAGCAAAAGTAGAGAAAGCAAAGCAGAAAAGGAGGTCCAGCAGGTCCAAACCCAACACCAAGGACTTTGACTCGCTCACAACAAAACTTTCGGGCAGATCTCAGGGGAAAGGTGGAAGTGAAGCTCTCTTGTGCAGACACACGCGCTTTCACAGTCTTTCTTTCTCTTTTCCCAACACTTTCAGCGACTTCTATCACCAGTCAGCCACGCTTGCTCTAAGTTTCTTTACATTGAAATGGGATAACCTTCCAGATTCTGGAGGATCCCTTTGTCAGAGGAATGCCTGGGGACACTGTCCCTGTTTGACGAAATTGTGAGCTGCTAAACTAACAGAGGGCTGACTAAAGATACGATTCTTTGTTTGTAGTAGAAAACCTGTTTTACCATCAACTATTTTAAAGGTACCCTATAACAAAATATGTGTGCTTGTACATTCCTGTTACTAGATTCTGTTTACTGCCAGATAAGACTCTGAGTTTGTGAATATTGTGGTCCATATGTGTGTCTCATGGGGAACTTGGACCTCAGCCTGTGCGTTTGCTACCCTCAACCTTTGAGCCCCCCCGTTGTGTAGGCACCACTTGAACTGATGTTTGGGAATGGTTTCATTTTTGTACTCCCTAAGTCTGCGTGTGGCTCTGAGTCACATGCAAAAGCCTCACAAATAACGGCATCATGTTAGTTCTTACCCTGGAGGTGGACAACTGCCGAGCTCCCACAGCAACACATACGGCCCTTGGCAGCCTCAGCTTTCACTTCTGCCCTCCCTCTCCCTGCCCACCTACACTATCTAACATGCTCCAGTCTGCCAGCCAGTACATGAGGTGACATCCAGGGAGCTGGTGGCACCTTGCAGGGACACGTGCAGTCCCTTTTCTCCTCTGGCCCCTTCCTCGCGGGAGGGGACGTTGCCATCTCTCACCTGTACTGTTCGTTGGCTTTCAGCTTCCCGTTGCACGTTGCCCTGGACTGGCCGCACTCCTCTGTTCCCACTGACACTCGCCAGGTTTCGGGGGAGCTCCTGGGGCTCGGATGGAAGGGATTGGGGATTAGCACAGCCAGATAGGAGTCCTCTGTCCCATAATAGTGGTCATACCATGTGCTGGACATGATTTCCTGGGTGGGCCTCAGCACTGAAAGGGAATGTACAAGGTGACAGTGGTAGTCCTGAAGTGACGTCCAAGGAGACCTGCTGCACTCCAGGGAGCCACTGCAGATCGGGATGTGCAGGGGCACTTACGTGAATCATTAGTGGTAGCAACGACACCATAATACTCAATCTGGCCGTTCTCCTCGCTGAACAGGTCGGATGAAATGATAACCGTGGAGCTGGCCTCCACCTGGAAGATGTCTGCTCGCAGGGGTGGAGGCAAGGCTGAAAGACAAACCAGCAAGCACAGCCTGTTAGTGTGTCCCCGCTCCCACAGACCCACCACACATTGCTCAGCCTGTGACTGGTCCCAGCATCACAGCCCAGAGCCCTGGCCCACTGCAGTTCAGTGCAGGACCTCACGGGGCCCACAGGCACCTGAAAGAGGCCTCAGGTCTAATTGGCCACACTGGGTGTCTTCTCCTGGGGTCTGTGGCAAGGTTGTGAGAAAGAAGGGGACTCACCCTCCACTGTTGTGTTGCAGAGCAGAGTCACAGCCTGGCTCTTCATTGTGTTCATGCCCACTGTTCTCACAACGATTCGGTACGACGAGTTTGGCCCCAGCCCCTCCAGACTGGCCTCGTTTGTAGGGATGCTCATGACATACTTGGAGGTAGGAGGTCCGTCAGAGAGTCTCTCTGTCACCACCTCATAAGCCTCCACATCTCCAGGAGAGCTGGTCCAGTTCAGGTAAAGGCTTCTTGAATCTGGCAGGCATTGCACATCCTCCACTGGGTTTGGCTCTGCGAAGGAGATATGACAGGCTCTGAACTTACTGGATCAGAGAAATCCCAGCCTCAACCCATGCATCAGTCCAGAGCCACTATGGTCCTCTACTGCCTGTCCCTAGGTCAAAGAGAGAGGAGCAGAGCTGGACATCTGCAACCTGGGAGCCTTCTGTGCCAAGGACCACAGGACGAGGCGAATGGGTCAGGGCCTGAGCAGCTGCCTTACAGGAGAAGCAGACCAACAGAGACCACTGCAGAGTCCGCTTTGCTTCACAGGTAGGCAGAGATGATGGGAAATATCTGTGATGGGGCTAGCTTAGGGAGCTGATGGCTACCAGAGGGTCACCTTGCCGCCTTTCCTCATCTCCCACCATGAAGACTTCCCATGCTTCTGTTGACATCCAAGGGCTTATCCAGTCTTGAGGCCACACGGACGTTTCTCCCCCTTTCAGCCTGCACTCCCCCCATCCCTATGGCAGCGCATACCCACCCATTGGCACTGCCAAGATCTTGGTGCTGCTCCAATAGGGCCCAGCCACGCAGTTCAAGGAGACGGAGTAGTTCCTCCCAGGGATCAGTCCTTGGAGGAGGTGCTGGCCTTGCCCTCTGCCGAGCGCGTGCCGCCAGGGCAGCGTGCTGTTCCTGGGATCCCGCAGCCACAGCTGGCAGTCGTCCTGCTCTCCAGAGACACTGCCCCAGGAGATCAGCATCGTGCTGTTCCCTTCAGCCACCGCAGAGAGATTTGTGGGAACTGAGGGGGCTACAAAGAAAACCACACCGGGGGAGAGTCACTGGCATGCAGGTACTCTCTTCCATCCTATAGAGATACAAGTAGAAGATGGGTAATATGCAAGGAGACTTCACTTGTTCACTGACAACATTTCTGCAGCTGCTGGCTGCCACTGACAGAAGTGACCTCTAACTGCCAACTGGAGGACATGTGGAGTGAGGAGCAGGAGGAGATGGGCTCCTCCTCCTTCTAGTTAGCAAGTTTCATTAGAGACCTGCCTAAAGGGCTCTGCACATGACTCCCAGCACCCTGCCAGGGGCTGGCTGAGAGTGGGAGCAGAGACCTCTGGATTCCCCAAGCAAAGTGCAGGCACTGTGGGGACAGGCACGTGAAAAGGCTTATTGTGCTTATCTGCAGTTTCCACATTCCTTAAAAAAAAAAAGGCCCAGCCTCCCCTTATCCCCCATGCCAGGAATTCTCCGAGCGCCTGGGAGCAAGGCAGCGGGGATGGCGGGGTGTCCCCCCCTGGCTGTAAGGCCTCATGGTCTCCCAGGCTCCCACAGCTGCCATGGGATCCCTTGCTCTTGTTCAGCTCCCCATGCCTGGAGGAGCCAGCTGGTGTGAACAGCAGCACTGCCGATTCGAAGATCCGATCCCTTCTACCACCGCGAGCTGGAGATCTGCAACCACGGTTGCCGGACTGTCCTACGGGCAGCCGTACCGCCCTGCTCTCCCCTCCGCCGGGGGCTCGCACAGCCCGTGATCCCACCGCTCCCAGGCAGTCCTAGCCGCGTCCCTGCCCCTTCCCACCGCGGGCGCTGAGCCTGCCCGGATGCAGAAGGCTGAGCCTCACGCACGACGCAAGGACCCCCAGCTCTTGCCACTTACTTGTCCAGTCGCTGATGTTCCCGGCGGAGGCTGCGTAGGGCCCTGCCACGGACACCACTTCCAGCAGGTATTTGTGTCCCGGAGCCAGGCCAGAAAAGGTGAATTTGCTGGTGCCTTTCCCAACAGATACGTTGGCTGCCACAGTACCTGCTCCTGAGTGGTACAGGAGGAGCCTGTAACTGTCTTGTCCTTGGGGTTCAGCTCGCCAGGATGCGCTCAGCCTGTTGGGATACCCCTGGTTCGTCATGTGCACGTTGCGGGGTGCCAGGGGGTCTGGAGAGACAGGATGGGAGACATCGTCAGTGAAGGGCCTGAGGACAGTGCCTGGGTAATTGGCAGTGTCAGCAGAAGGGAGGCACCGTACAGGACAGGGCACTTCGTCTCAGCTGGGTGGCTGCATCCACCAGCCTGGAGGCAGCTAAAAGCGGCTTCTGCAGGCTTCAGGTGGTGCCTGAGCAGAGACTGCCCTGTCCCAGCTGGAGCCAGAGACCAGAGATGGGTGAGGAGGGAGCACCCAGCCGGCTGGAGGGGAGGGGAAGGTGAATGCCCCCCCCCGCTGCTCCCTCCCCCATGCCTCTCCTCTAAAGCACGGCCCCTGGAGCTGCGACTGTCTAACCCAGGCTGATGGAGCTGGTGGCGAGGGTGGGCAGACCCCTGCTCGGTGCCATGGCACCAACGTGCGTTTGGGTTCAGGCAGGGCTCTGGGTCTGCCATGAAGGTCAGTGGGGCCGTGCCTTTTACACGAGCCTTCGTGACTGCCCAGCAAGGCATGCATCACCCTCAAATCAGGGTACTCACACGTCCAGTTGCTGATATTTCCTGCAGGTGTCTGGTAGGACCCAGCCACGGACACCACCTCCAGCAGATATTTGCTTCCCGGGGCCAGTCCCGTGAAGGTGAAGTTGTGGGTGTCGCTCCCCAGTGAGGCCG